CGGTGTCACGTGTTGGCGTCTCTTGGGACTGTTACCCCAAAAGGCTTACACTAGATGTGTGAACACATCTAGTGTAAGCGGCGTTACGCCGCTGGCGTAATGCCGCATGTGAGACATCTTGAGGTTTTTTTTTCGATTTCGACGGCCCGACGTGATCCGCAGCCGTCTTCAGTGGGCGGGGGTGCCCCTCGTCTCGCCGGCTGGCGGAGAGCTGAACAGAGCTGGCGTGCCCGTACCGACCCGCCTACAGAGGCACCCTTATTACGGGCGCGGCAGAGCTCAGCCGCTGGCAGTTCTGACGGTCGGCGGCGGCTCGCTCCTCAGACCATGCAGCAGTACCTCCGGCAGCATGAGTACATGCTGGTGGACCCCACGTACACGGCGCACGAGCCGTCCGAGATATTCAGCGCCGAGGCGCACGACCTACGCAAGAGAAAATCCTCCGACAAGTGAGACACGCTTTTAGTTGAGACCAGTTTAGCAGGAGCTTCATTGGATCAGCCCGGCGCCAGAGGCTCGGATTTGGAAAGACGAAGGTTCGAAGATGCCAAGTTCAACTTTGGATTGTACGAAATTCAATAGTTTGCATCCAGTTGTGACACGTAGCGCCGCACTTAAGCGGCGACACTAGCACAGTTTACTCAGACCACCGTCAGATGGCGGTGTGATCGGAATGTGTCAAGCATTTCCATACGCACTGGCTTTGATAAGCATATATGCGTGTGCCAGTTTGCAGGCGATAACGTGAACGGACAAGAGGCCATTTGATTCTATTTTCAGTTGTTATGGCAACGGCTCGGAGACATTTTGCTCCTTGTTTTTCAGTTACTACGAGATCGGCTCGGAGACGCGGACGTACTCGCCGCCTTTGAAGCGTCTTCACACCAACGGCCTGCACTCTCCGCCGTTTAGCGCACACACGCTCTCCCTCAACGGTGACGTCAGACCGGTGACGTCACGCGCCCTGAGCCCTCGGGAGGAGGAGCGGAAAACGGCCGACACGGACGAGTGGAAGAACATCCACGTGGTTAGTACAGCGCTGTGTGCCGAGATGCCGATGTGCCGACATTCGTCGAGTTTACACCGAGCGTCCAGAGCACGCGTGTTGCGTTGGGCCGATCCTCAAACATTACCAGATATTTTTGTTCCGAAACGTGATTAGGAGGCACATGTGAGAACTAAGTGCATTTGAAACGGACACCATGACGTTCACCCTGACTTAAAAACACACCCAGCCAACGTATCTGCATACCCCCCACCTCTTATGTTTCTCTTACTAGAGGCACAAGGCCCTTGCATTTAAGTCGGCACACGTCGGAGAACAAACCCATTGTGAACACCCTTCTCACACCTGACGCCGCCCGCTGCGCCGCAGATGCTGAACTGCATCTTGAGCATGGTGGAGAAGACGAAGCGAGCGCTGACGATGCTACAGCAGCGGCCGACCGACGGCTCGGAGCCGGCTGGCTGGAGCCGCGCCGGCGACGCGACCGACATCAAACGCCAGGCTAGCGAGATCATGGCGCAGACAGTCAAAGCCACCGAGGAGCGCGTGGCCGAGGTCCGACGCCGAGCCGGTGTGTGCTCACTAGCGCCGCCTGGCGAGCGAGTCGGGAACTGATCCGGCAGCGGGGTCTCCCGACTGTCCCGGCAGCGCAGGGCTCCGCGGAGTGATTGGTTGCAGATGTGATGGTCCTGGTTGACGGTCAGCTTGGCGACGCATTGCTGCGGAGATGTTGGAACGGCAGTCGGGAAATTCTTGAAAATGAAAGCACGGAAGGGGATTGGGTGTCACGAAATTTGGGGCGGTATGCTTGCCAACTCACCGCCAGTTGTCTTCCCTCGCAACCAGACACCCCTCAGTGGTGTCCTGGGCCGGTTCGATACAGCCCACCACACCATTTCGTTGCCGGCCACAACAGACAAGGCTGGCCAAACCTCGACGCCGCGCCGTCGCCACAACCGGTGACGTCACTACGCCGGGCCGTTCGCAGAGGACGCGGTGAACGAGGTGAAGCGTCAGGCGGTGTCTGAGCTGCAAAAGGCGGTGACCGTGGCCGAGAACCGCGCCGGCGAGCTGATCTCGGCCGAGCGCTGCCGTATCGAGGCGTTGCTCGCCGAGGCCCGCAAGCTCGGCGCCGAGGAGGCGCTGGCCGCCACCAACAAGCAGACGGAGGGCTCAGAGGTGAAGAAGTGGACGGGGGTACGGCTGAGCCGAGTCGATCAGCCGACGCCGCGAGTGCCGCGGCACCGCTACTAGCATTCTCGTGCGGTTTGGGGTTTATTGTGGTCAGGATTGACACGCCGAATCGGGGCATGTTGGGATGTGAATGAATATCGATGTCTTCTGTTGGGATGCACAACACTTAACATAGAGCTGCTATTACACGGGGTCCACCGTCCAAGCTCCCCGTCGCACCTCAACTGTGCGTCCTAAAACCATCTCCAAAGCGGGGACTGTGGCCTCGCTGGCCGTCTGCACTGACGGTAGCCGGCCGGCCAACAGCCCGCGGTGGCGCTGTAACCTGCCCGTTATGTCATATGTGTGCCAGCGTTAACCCGCCCCGGCGTGCGGTGTCGGCAGAGCTGCTGGAACTGCGGTCGGAAGGCGACCGAGACGTGCAGCGGCTGCAACGCGGCTCGCTACTGCGGCTCCTTCTGCCAGCACAAGGACTGGGAAAGCCACCACAAGCGATGCGCCGCCGGCCCGGCGCCCGAGCGCGCCAAGACGCCGCCCGAGCGCAGCGACCCGGCCGGCGCCGAGCCGCCCGCCGCGCGCTGAGGCGCCGCGCCAGCGCCAGTCGCCGAGCAACCGGAAGCTGTACATTGCGCTAGCGTCCGCGCCGCCCACGACGTGATGCTTCAATGTAGATAGGCACTCTGTTAGTGATCTTTTTCGGACGGGAGGCGCGGCGATTTTTTTCTTTTCGCTCGGAGTGTCGTCACTGTGGGTGTTGGCGAGTCGCCTTCGGACCGCTTGCCCTCGTCATCTTCATTTCGCCGCGCGGTAGCGCGCCGGGCTCGCCTCGGCGCGGTCAGTGTCTCGCTACGGCCGCTTCTCGTGCTTCGCATTGGTGTCCGCTTCGTCGCGCCTTTCCGTCGGCTCTCCCCCGCTCCGTAGGCGCCCTTGTACAAACGGGAGACATACAGACCGCTGCCACTCCGGCATGCAATAACGTGTGATAGCGGGTTGGGCGCGCTCCGGAGGTCACACCGGCCCCGCGCCCCGGGAGCTCCGGGTGCGCGTGCCGGCCGCGGAGGGCGAGCGCGCTGGTGCGTGGAGTATGAGGGGGGGGGGGGGGGGGCGCCAGCCCAGCGTCTAGTCAGAATATACGACGAGTCAATCTCGCGCCAATGTTATAAGTACAATACACGAGGTAAATGTCGGACGTTGTGTATTGGGTCCCGGGAACACATCTATAGCGGCGAACGTCTCTTGCTGCCCCTTCCTCTATGAGAATGGCACGACTGCAAAAATGTACGACGATGGCGACCACTTTACATGAACATAGTTTACGACAGACCACCAGCCATGATGAAACATGACCAGACATCTACCCCCGCCACAACAGCACCCCAAACTGTTCCTCCGCCTCCGGCCGGTCACTCCTCTGGCTTCTCAGGCGGTTGCCCGCAGGGCTGCAGCATGCGCTCCATCAAGTTGAAGCGGATGCGCGCCTTCGCCTCGTTCTCCGTGAGCGCGAAGTAATTGAGCATGTCGAAGTGGCCCATGTAGGAGGCGAATGAGTCACGGTGCTGGTTCGTCAGCCACTCGTACATAGTGGTGTCAGCGTGGCCGGTGCCGATGTACTTGGACTGCAGATGCTCCAGCTGACTGTGGATGTTGTAGCGGTCTCCCATGATGCGGCCTTCTGCCGAGGGACACAGACCAGAGGTTGTTAAAACTTGCTGGAGAAAACAGGGTGGTGGAATGTCAGTACCTTATGTTGCTGATGGGGTGGTGTGTGTCTTTTATTCTTGTAAAATCGTAGGAAAGGTACATGATTAGCCTGCAGGAAAGTGGTTGAAGCAGTCAGTTCAGTAGGATACTATACTTACCATAAATAACTGGACTTGGCTTGACTAGGAGTCTGGGAGGATATGCTGACATTGTTTTGGAATCACATGATACTACATGATACATGGTGCAGACTTATGCCTGTCACAAACTGTTCACTCTGAAAAAGCTTAGGTAAACAGCTGGAGCCTCATTAAACTCATAAGGGGTCAAAAACCATATTTTCTCACTGCATAAAAATTATTTTTTTATGGTATTTTGTGGTGAGCTTCTGGTGACCTTGTAAAATGCTGAGGGGGCTGGGAAAATATCTGGGAGATAGGATCACAAAAAAGACAGAAAGCCTGAATTATAGTACAGTATGCCACAAATACATGTGACCCTGAACATGCCCCACAAAACAGCAACATTGTGACAACAATTCTAGTGAATGCACACAGTTTACCATGAAATTATGGTCAAGGTCCTGTTGATAGCCAAAGTTATTTCACACCTAATCTGAGTACCTAGTTCCAAATGCTGAACACTGAGAAATGTATACTATATACAGTACATATTTCTATATAACTTTATTTTATACTATTTTACTCAGGACACAATGCAATGTAAGACAGCAGCATACTTAATAGGGCATTTACATTGGTCTAACTGTTAAAAGTACAAAAATGTAACAATATTACTGCAGCTGTTATAGTAACAGCTACTTTACATCATCATTTCACCATGTTTTATTGGCCAGCAACACAACTGCTTGCCTGGTGTACATTGCAAACCTGCTATGTATTTCCAAAATTCCTTCATGTCAGTTCACATGCTACAAGTGCCAAACCAGGGAGTGACACCAGCATATGGAATATTTTGCAACAGGACAAAATTGGGGCACCACAAGCAACAGTCAGACTGATCATGACCAAAAAATTGTGCACTCAAACTTTATGAATGACCTTAAAACTAGAATAGATGAATATGTAGCCTTTAAGATAGGAGGTGTAGGCATACATTGGTACCTAATGCTAGAAAACATTATTGCACCTCATTTGTCATGTTCAAGGCAGAACATGTCATAAATAATTGGAAAACAGGTAGATTGATGCTCCTACCTTCCAATTTCAATTGCTCTGATAGTGAGCCACTGAGCGCCACACGCACCCCACTGCCTTGACTCCCCAGCGCCGTTTCTGCATTATCATTGCGTAATTACCACATTTTTTATTTCTGCTATCAAAAACCATAAAAAATGAACAGGGCCAAGGTAACAATAATAATGCAATGGAAAACGTTCCTCACCGCATCCAGGTACATTTATGAAATGGACAGGCCAGAATAGTCCAGAACATAGCCTGAACTAGCCTAACCTAACCTAACCTAAAAACCCAAACAGCCTACCTAACCTACCCCCCCCCCCCCCTATCCCCTTCAGCCCAGTGTCCCATTGGCATCCATGTTCCATACCATATAATGTATCATATTAAGTTTTGTTTAGCCACCATATTCTCATTTTGCTTTTCATTCCCACCCAAAAATGTCATATTTCCCCACCATGTCAACCAATCTACAAACAATACAGAAGACTGCTTGGATGTGCAAGAAACATATTTCATTGGATTCTTGTTACCTTGGCCTCATACATTTTTATGGTTCTTAATGTGCAGTAATGTTGTGATCACTCAGTAATGTGATCACACGCAGCAATGGCTCAGGGGTCGCGGTTGCTACGTGTTTGCGCTCGGATGTTCGTTATTTTAGTTAAGCTCCAAGGTAAGAGTTTAGATGACCTGTTTTACGATTAATTACGATATGTTCTGCCTTAAAAACGACAATTGATGCTACAATGCCCTTTCTTAACATGAGGTAGCAATGTATACTAATGTATACCAATAGCAATGTATGCTGGGTGACGTGTTTAAGGAGATTTATCTTTGTTTGGGTATCAAAAAGGGTTACCAATAACCATGCCACATGCCAACTTTGCCGTTTAAGCAAGCATACACAACGCTTTCTTCGCAGCCGAGCGCTGATAACATTTTGCAAACCTTTCAGCGTACGTAACAAAAAGAAACGCCTCACCTTTTACCCCACGCTGTCACAATCCCGTTCTCCAGTTATCCCGATGCCGGCTGGCAACGTTTTGGGCTGTCTGCGAGTTAGACCAACCAATACAAAACTAGCGCAGAAACGAAAGCGCGACCTGTTTCATCGATATCGAGGATATATAGCATCCGATTTTGTTACGTCACTGGCC